TGTTCACGTTTGCCTGAGGCGACTCATACCGACACACACTGGACCTCCAAACACACACACCACCAGCTGCACCAAAATCACACATTCCCCTCCAGACACACACACACCTTCATTTCTCTGCAAAGGTGACCCCTCTCTCTCTCCCTCTGTCTCTCTCTCTCATAGAAAGAGAGCCAGACAGAGAGGGAGGGGGAGAAAGAGAGAGAGAGAGAGAGACATTGGGAGAGAGAGAGAGAGAGAGAGAGAGAGAGAGAGAGAGAGAGAGAGAGAAAGAAAGGAAGAAAGAAAGGAAGAGAAAGAATGATGTTCAGAGTGTAACACTGGTGATGTTGAGAGTGTAATGTTAGTGATGTTGCATGTAACAGTGACATCACTGGTGATGTTGAGAGTGTAAGTTTGATGTTGAGAATGAAGTGTTGGTGATTTGAGTGTGTATCATTGGTGATGTTGGGAGTGTAACACTGGTGATGTTGGGAGTGTAACATTGGTGATGTTGGGAGTGTAACATTGGTGATGTTGGGAGTGTAACACTGGTGATGTTGGGAGTGTAACACTGGTGATGTTGGGAGTGTAACATTGGTGATGTTGGGAGTGTATCATTGGTGATGTTGGGAGTGTAACACTGGTGATGTTGGGAGTGTATCATTGGTGATGTTGGGAGTGTAACATTGGTGATGTTGGGAGTGTATCATTGGTGATGTTGGGAGTGTAACACTGGTGATGCTGAGAGTGTAACATTACTGATGTCAGAACTGTAATATTGGTTAAGAGTGTGACATTCATGATGTTGAGAATTTGCCGCTGGTGTGGAGAGTGCACTATTGTTGAGCATTGGTGATTTAGACAGTGCAACATTGGTAATGTTTAGATTGTAATGTTGGTGATGATGAGAGTATAATATTTGCAATGTTGAGAGTACATCGAGAGTGTAACAATAATGATATTAAGAGTGTAACACTGATGATGGTTAAAGTATAATGTTGGTGATGCAGAGTCTGACATTGATGAGATGAGAGTTTATGAGAGGTGCTGAGAGTTTATCATTGGTGATGTTGAGAGTTTATCATTGGTGATGTTGAGAGTTTATCATTGGTGATGCTGAGAATTTATCATTGGTGATGTTGAGAGTTTATCATTGGTGATGCTGAGAATTTATCATTGGTGATGTTGAGAGTTTATCATTGGTGATGCTGAGAATTTATCATTGGTGATGTTGAGAGTTTATCATTGGTGATGCTGAGAGTTTATCATTGGTGATGTTGAGAGTTTATCATTGGTGATGCTGAGAGTTTATCATTGGTGATGCTGAGAGTTTATCATTGGTGATGCTGAGAATTTATCATTGGTGATGTTGAGAGTTTATCATTGGTGATGTTGAGAGTTTATCATTGGTGATGCTGAGAGTTTATCATTGGTGATGCTGAGAGTTTATCATTGGTGATGTTGAGAGTTTATCATTGGTGATGCTGAGAGTTTATCATTGGTGATGTTGAGAGTTTATCATTGGTGACGTTGAGGGTTTATCATTGGTGATGTTGAGAGTTTATCATTGGTGACGTTGAGAGTTTATCATTGGTGATGCTGAGAGTTTATCATTGGTGATGTTGAGGGTTTATCATTGGTGATGCTGAGAGTTTATCATTGGTGATGCTGAGAGTTTATCATTGGTGATGTTGAGGGTTTATCATTGGTGATGTTGAGAGTTTATCATTGGTGATGTTGAGAGTTTATCATTGGTGATGCTGAGAGTTTATCATTGGTGATGCTGAGAGTTTATCATTGGTGATGTTGAGAGTTTATCATTGGTGATGTTGAGAGTGTGACGTTGTGCATTTTGAGAGTCCAACATTGTGATGCTAAGAATGTAACACTGCTGCTGTTGACAGTGTAACATTGGTGATAGTGAGAGTGTAACATTGGTGATGTCAAGGCTGTAACACTGGTGATGCTGAGTGTAACGTTTGTAATGTTTAAAGTGTTACACTGCGGGGGGAGTTTTAGTCTGAGAGAGTGTGTTTGTCCTTCACTGTATCAGAGCGAGCGAACAGCAGACTGCAGCCTGACTTTCAAGCATTTCCACGAGCGATCGTCTTTCTGGAACTAAACTGGTGGGGCAAATCCTCTTAAAATCCTTTTAGACAGCGTGGAGAGAGGGAGAAAGGGGAAGTTTCTCACAGGCAAACATGTGCAGGTTGTTTGGATGATGTTGAGGCAGAGGAAGGACAACATTTTTCTGTCTGCTCCCCGCAGGCAAGGGGTGGAATATTAACACAACATCAGCCTGTTCAATACCTCATACACATACATATATGCACAGCCGAAGCATTCTGCTAGAGGTTAACCCTTAGAAGTCAAATTTTTACAATAATTTTGCTGCATTATTTAAATGCAATCACACAATTACACAATTAATTACATAGTTGCACATTTAATTACATTTACAGTCAATTTATATATATATATATAAATATATTAACATTGGATTTTAAGGTATAAAAGTTGACTGATTTACATATTTAATTCTTGGCTCATGCTTGCAGTAACCTGCAATTCCATTCACTATTTTTGCTGTATGATGAAGTAAATGAAAGTCGTCCTGCCTATCTTAGTTACTGTTGCTACGTCAATCAAACTGTAGGCCATATGTAGGCCAAATTCAATTAAATAATAAATTCTGAGAATCCTGTTTACATTTAACAATCCATGGAAAAACCTTTCAGCAACTACACGCATAGCTTTTCATGTCTTATGAAGAAGAGGTCTGAGCTACGAAAGCTGCCCCTTCAGATGAGCTAAAGCTAACACTGGAGCTAATCAAGGCAATGTTACATGCTGAGGAGGACTCGTCATCTTGTACACATATTTTGGTAAACTTTAAAGAAACAATAAAAGTGATGATGTGTGTACGAGTGCATTAGTGTTCAACTTTAACCATAAATATGTAATTTCTTATTAGACATACTAAAATGTGCATTAGCAGGTATAACAACACAGATAAAGTTTAGCTTACCTTGGGCCTGTTATTAGGTCTTTCACCTTTTAGGTTAGGCCAAGACCTTTTAGCTTTGAGAAGGACATAAAAATACCAGACCAGATAGCATGTGTTTAAATCAAATGTCCCATATTTAGACTAATTTACTGCCAGCTGCATTCTCCCTGCAGGTTTCTTGTTAGGACTCCTGCTGGAGTAAGTAATACTTAGAGACAGGCGTGCCAATCATTATTTTGCAAACAAGTACACTGTTTGAGATTGTAGCACCTTATTACAATCACAATTACAAAGGGAAAAAATGGCCAATGTAAATAATAGTGGCCCAAAACTCACAGCCATTGACTCCAACATCTGAAAGTGCTCATGCAGATGAAAGGAACCTGAATATGAAAGATTACTACAGAACACTCTTCATTGTAGATCTAGTTAGCTCATATTCAAAGGAGCACTAGGCAGTTCCTTTCCTATTCAGGGACCCACTGACATTGATGTTGAAAAATCCCTCCTAGAGGTTTTCTAGCAAAACACTATTTCCCAAGCCTGATTGCGGTTTCCATATTTGATTAAATAAGAGGGCAACGGGTTGGAGGTTTGTTTGTCGATTTGCTCTTTTGCTTTTCCATCTCCTTTGGGCAACAGATTGAATTAATGTTTATAGACACTACCATGCCACACATGAGGAAACAAGAGATTGCGCAAATTTTCAATACTTTTGCAATTATAGCTCTATAAACATAGAGCGAGGGGCAGGGGAAAATAATAATAATAAAAAAAGCTTTTTTTTTGGGAGCATCGCTGTTTTCTCCTGTGTCATTGGCACAGGAACAATGATAATTTCCCTCATTTATGCTCTTTTTCCATGTGAATAGATCAGTGAGCAGATTCTGTTTACCTCTGGACCTTTCTCTTTCCCACATATCCACACATACACAAGCCTGGGTTTGCTTTAGATATGTCACCCTCCCCTGCCCAAAGTAAATGTTAAAGCTTGTGTGCTAACACAAAAGGCTCTTAACTCCAGCCTGGGGACCCACCGGCTCTGCACTGTTTAAAATTTTCCCTGTCCCGGAACAGCTCATCCAGCTCATGAAGAGCTTCACAACTAGCTGATGAACTAGATCAGGTGTTTTGGGGTGGGAAATAGCTGTGATAGTGCAGAGCACTGCACTGAGAAAAGTAAAATACAGAATATGCCCAAAAATGTGTATATGCACCTGCTCATCCAACGTTTCTCTGAAATCGAAGATAGTGAGCTTATAAGAGCTTAATAGAGAGCTTATGTCACTTTTCACAATATGACATGATGTTCTATAAAGTAAAGTCAATTTTATTGCCATATGAGACCTTAACCTAAGGTCATGGACATTTGTGCTGGAATTTATTTTTCTTTATGTTTGTATGCAGACCTTTTGAATTGAGCACTGTTGATAAGAGCAAACACCAAGACCAACTAACATTGCATTTAAAGTCATATTTCATGGTGCTTCTGCTTTGTACCAGAGGTAACGGCTTCATCTGTAACTGATGTTCTAGCTTTAGTATTTAAACAATGAATATTTATTGTGTTTTAAACAAGCTAGGAATTGTGCGCTGGCTAAATATGAACAGAAAATATGAAGCTATGCTGCAGTAAGAAGCAATGAGTGTTATAGAAAAACAGCCACACCAAATATTCTTCCCTATAATCACACCATTCTAGCAGTTTCAACATTAAAAAGAGACATTATGGGCAGGTTTCCTGGGCATGGATTAAACCTAGTCCAATGGTAATGCAAAATCTTGTTTAGTCTAGTCTTAGTTTTAATCTACATCTGAGTAGTGCAAACTTTGCCTATGATCTATCCTGCCCTTTCCCTTGCCTACTATTATCCCCTCCCCCTTCATTAAGTCTTGGACAGGCGTTCCGCATCCCAGCATTCCTGCTGTTTCGGCTATTATGGTCCACCGTATGGAGTGTGTTGGCTGCCAGCAACCCGGGACGGGCTGGACTTGGCTTGGCACGGCTCACCTGGGGTAAATGAGGGCACTTGATCCTGCTGGGCCTGTGGGCCACTCGAGCCTCAGGGGTCTGCCGGATGTTGAAGAGTGCCTGCAGGGCGCTGAGCGCCGCCCGCCTCTTGGCCAGCTTCTTACTGCGTCCTGAACCCTCGAAAATTCGTCCATCAACCCGCACAGCCATGATGAAGCTGCGGCCCCTACCCTGGTTGCTCTGGGACAGGCATGCATAGCGCAGGCCTGGCCGCAGGTTGTTCAGCAGTACCACTGGGCTTGGGGGTGGAGCCTCAGGACCTGGATTTCCCTGCCTGGCTTGCACCACCATAAGGTCCAGCGTGTGGCGCAGCCGGAGGGCGCTAGAGAGCAACTCCGATTCGGCCGAGCGGCAACCGTCTGGCTCAAAGCCTTTGAAAAGCGTTTCAGGGAAATCTGCCTGGTCAGAAGTAAAGTCTGCCGATGGGTCAGACAAGCCGCCCATGGCCAAATGAGCCTGGGAGGCATTAGGGAACTGCACGAATGATCTAAGGGCCAGCTCAGCTGCCCGCATCTTAGCCTTTTTCTTGGTGGGGCCGGTGCCCTCAAAGGTAAGCCCATTGACCTCCACAGCAATGGAGAACAGTGGGGCGTGAACTGGGCCAGTCTGGGAGACAGTTCGGTACTGCAAGCCTGGCCGAAGCTCGTTTAGCTGAACCAGGGCATTCTTGGGCGCATCAGACCACGGTAGCTTTCTGTAACACAGCCGCAGCCTGCACGGCCGCCCGTTGTTGTCTTCCTCCAGTGGCCGCTTGCGTTTCAGACTGGACGTGCTGCCTCGGGATGAATCAGAAAGAAAGAGAGGCTGGCGGTCTGATGGGACGATGGTGCAGTCCTCAAGGTTTCCGAAGTTGCGGTTCTCTTTGACCTCCGCACTGCTGGTACCTGATAAAAACACAGAAAAAATGCGCTTCAGAAGAACGTACCAAGGAGATGTCTCATAGGAACTGGGAGTCAAGGACCCATTAACTCAAATGATACAGCATCAATTTCATCAAACACTACCACCAATAGATTAGGTCGAATGAGCTTTCTTAAAGAAACAGCTTGGCAAAAAATTCAAATACACTTCTAACCTTACTGCAAATGTAGTCAATCAGCCAAGGCATGCCTGGTGTCTGAAGTTTGCTTCTTTTCTTTTGTATTGGAGCTGCAAGTGATGTAGCTAAGTAATAAGTGTATTCTCCACCTATTAGCACTGTGCAAAACAATGTTGCATAGATAAAACCAGTAGTGGCAGCAATCTTGAAGTCTGCATTTTATTTGTAGTTTTGTCTATTATTTTATAGATATCAGAGTGTAAGTAACCACATAAGAACGTCTGTTTGACATTCGTTAACTTTTACATGGTCTGAGACAAGTTGTGATTTAGGTGTGCAGTTTGCACAATGCTAAAGTGTATCGCTGCTGTCGGAAGAAAACCTCGTATCTCCATTTCTGTCATTTTTCAGTTTTTTACATAATTTAAAAATGCATGTTGCCCTTCACATCGTTGTTAAATTTCATGAAGAATGGACCAAAAAATCAGCCCAAAACGACTTGAAAAAATGTCTGGTTCCACTGGCTTACATTAAAAGTAATGTAGGTTTTTCCTCCTCCTGTAAAGTTAGCATTTTGGAGATACGAGGTTGGAGATATGCTTTCATTATATTTTAGCTACACTGTAAAAAAAAAAAAAGGTTAAATACATGTAAATACACCACGTATAAATTGTATTTAAGCATGAATGTTGTTAATCTAGAGATACAGAATATAAATTCATGAAAACAAATTCACCTTTTTTCCCACAGACATTTGTGTTTGTTTTAATGGATGTTATTGTTGTTGTTATCATTACGATGAAATATTTTATGTCAGAATAACAAATTTAATTATTGTAAAAGGCAGTATTTGCAAGAAATTAAATGACTGTTTTACTGTTAATTAACAGTAAAAGTCTGACACCCAGGCTGCTGGACTTTTTACTGTTTTACAGACTTTTTTACAGCGTAAATTAGTATAGTAGCTGCATTGTAACACAAGTCATTATTGATATACTTATATATTAAATTGTATTGGTATTTGTAATTGTAATGTTTAATTATAAACTTTAAAATTATGTTAAACATTAGTTGTTACTCAATAATTGTTTAAATAATTACTAAATAATTATTAAGTATCATTTGTTAATTCATTATTTACTCATTAACTGTGTAGTTCACTGCCAATGAACTGATAAGTGTGTATAATAACATTAAGACATAACTTACTAGTACTTTTGTGTTTGTCCCGTTAATAACCATTTAATTAACCTCTTGATTTTACGTTAAGTGTTACTTAACAAACTTTTGTCACTAAACATGTCTTGGATGATCGACTACATTTGCGGTAGCAGGTAAAATTTGTAACATTATTGCCAAACTGTTCCCTCAAAACCCCAGCGTTCTCAAGTTGCTTGTTAGCATAGAAGTAGCATGGTTGCACCATGCTCTGAAAAGGATCAAACGCAGATCAGTCTGTTCAGGAGCATCCGCAGGCCCAGGCTAAGCAGGATCAGGAGTCACCGGCTGAAGTTGGACTGTAAACCGGCTTGATGTCTCCATTTCCTTTCAGCACTGCGCTCTAATCTCTGATCTCATGATCAGCATAAAAACCTGCCAGCTGATACACAATGATATGATAATGAAAAAAGAAGAGAGAGAGAGAGAAAAAAATCCAGTCTCATCCGCTCCGAGGCAGCTCCTGAAAGTTCCCTGCGAGGGAGGCTATCTTATTTAAGTGTTTTAAAATCCGAGGACAAATCCTCTCAAATGGGGCATTATCTGCTAAATCGCCCCGTAATCTGCCTCAAAATTGGCTTGGGATCCATGCTTAAAGTGGGTGCGATTTGTCCCCTGTATTCAATGCAAAGCAGCAATCCCTTTTGTAATGGAGGGGAGCAGCGACTGTTCCAGAGTTTCAGGGAGTGTGGAGAAAAAAATAAGGCCTATTTCACACTGAGCTTTATGGCCACCCGCGCTGTGTTTCACTCTTCTAATGCAAATCCATCACATTTTACACAACAGCACAACTAGAATAACACTGAAAATGCTATTATATACTAGTATATTGTAGTGTTGTATTACTCAAGGCCAGTCTCGGTCTCGGGTTTTTGCCCAGACAGCAGACAGTTTTGGGCCGATTCTGGCTTTCCTATGTGAGTGTTGGTTGACTACCGGGTAGATGTCAGGCATGCGGGCCAGAACAGGGCCAGATCCTGGACAGTTTCATACTGTTTTGCCTCGTGTCTACATTTGTGGGACAGTTCTGTCGTGAATATTGTGGACAAACAATGTAGTTGGGCCAGACTGGGACCAGGTTTGGGCCACATCCTTTAGTTCTACTCACTATACAATGTGAGGCTGAGGACCCAGCTGTACACTGAGCCAGAACAAACCAAGGATGTGGCCCACAAGTGAGCCAGACAAATGTTGCTAACTGGGTGGTCTCATCACAGTCTCAACATTATTTTGACTTGGTCTTGTCTTGGTTTCGGGGTAAGGTGGACTCAAAAACAGTTCCTGCGATCAGCTTAATGTAGTGCCTCCATCTAAAGCAACTAGAAACTGATATTTTTTTCCTATCATTATTGAATATTAACAAAACCTTCAGATAGAATAAAAAAGCCCATCCCCTACATATTTAATAAAAGCTGTTTTATTATTTATTATTATTTATGTATTAATATTCTGAAAATATTTTAATCTGGTCTCAGCCTTTTCTCTGGCCTGATGTGTCCAGGTATCAGTCCTGACTCTGACTGGACTTTAGTAGTCTTGACTACAACACCAGTATGTTGTGCCACAACTAATAGTTATGTGACAAATACACACTTAGTCATCAATCACAGTCTTAGTAATAAACAAAAAGTATATAAAAAGAGTTGCCTGTGGTTCATCTTTATGGAACTCACTTAAAGTGTCTTCGTCTTCTGTGCTGCCTGGACCTGGGCTCATGTACTTGAAGGGGACAATCAGGGCAGACAGCATGCTACTCACTTTTTCTGAAACACACAGAAAGATGCACATACAGGGGATAAAATCTCAGATGAATGTATTCTGATGGAGTCAGCAAACTCTACTGAGGGGACAGGTTGTAGGATTCATGCTGCATGTTCAAAAACCAAATTATTTGGGTTTGAGAAAGGTGAAATATAAACTCAACACTTTTATTGCAAATTAGAAACTGTGAATAAGAAAAAGTGACCAGTGATGACGATCACTGTTAACACTAAAGGTTAATGCTGTTTCTGAACATTTGGGGGCTCTAAGCAGAAAATTGTTGAAAATTGAACTATAAACACTCAAAGAAAGACAGAGAATGTGTTGTATATGGTTCTATATAGAACCTTTTTAAAAAGGGTTTTTTTATAGCACCAAAAAGTGTTCTTCCATTGTTACAATGTCAAGTGTGTCACAATAGTAGAACCCTTTTTGGTGCTATACTGAACCCCTTTCAAAAAGGTTCTCTATAGAACCATATACAACACATTCTCCTTCAGTCTAAAGAACACTTTCATGATGCAAATTACCCTTTAATCACACAAAAGGTCCTTTGAGTGTTCATGGTTCTATATAGAACGATCTTCTTTATTAAAGGACCTTTGAAGAACCATCTTTTTTAAGTGTGTAGCTTTATTATTTTGCACTCAAGAATTTTTAATAGGGAAAAAACAATAATTTAACTAAAAACAATTGAGAAACAGAATCTTTGAACAACTGAAAGGCAGTATGTCCGTCCAGTCTGTCAGGCCATGTCCATAGTTTTTGACTAAACTTGTCCAGCTTGAACAGGGTTTTACACGCCATACTTTTAAAAATAGATCTATTTTACAGATAAGTAGACTTTAATCCGAACCAAGCATCTCGCTTCTGAGAATTTGGCGAAGACTCTTTCAACTAGTTTAAATTCTCTGTCAAAGGAGTTACAGTGTGTGTATGTCCACGCTGACCATCAGGGTGCAAAACTCGAGCTTTTTGTGTGCTACTGTGTTTTCTATCAGTGTATAAAAGATGTATGAAGGCTTCCTTTCTTGTCGGATGTGCTGTGAGTGAGCTGATTTAGAGTGAAGCTCAGATCAGTAAGAGTATATCATTAATTTAATCAGAGTAATGATAAAATGTGACTGATGTGTGACTTATACTCCTGTTTACATGCTCTCATGTTTAACAAGGAGGTTGTAACCCAAACTAAATAAAAGTATACATATTGTTTTCTTTGTTGCATTCATGTTCTTTACACACCAAATACATGAAATGTACTGAGAAATCATTATTAAAGTATAAAGCCCCCCAGCAAGGAGAAGAATAGATTTAATTAGCCAAGTTTCTGCATCAGTCTTGTACTGGTATTGGAGAGGAGAAGTGGTATCGTGCCATTTGTAGTAGAGGTACAGACCTCTGGGCTGAGTTCAGTTTTTAGCAGCAGTTCAGAAGGTTAGCTTAGGTACTGCTGAGCCAAAGGGAGCTGACAGACTCCTTCTCTTCACTCACTGGGGTGTGTGTGTGTGTGTGTGTGTGTGTGTGTGTGTGTGTGTGTGTGTGTTGTTTACACTGAAGGCTCCTATTAGGGACATGAACCGTTCTGCTAAGTTGAGGGCAGAGTGAGAGAGCCTGACAGCGGAGCTGGGCTCCATAATTACATCCTTGCTTGCCCCTCCATGGACTAATGATCAATAGCTCTAAAGACCCAACAAGAGAGAGGGAGAGGACGGACAGGGATAAGGCTGAAGAGAGACTAGGAGTGATGCACTCAAACAGACTCTCACTCAGCCTTATCAACATTTCCACAGCCCACAGTAAGACACTAGGCTGCTTTTCCAAACCTGATTACCTTTGACAGAATAGGAATACACAATGATTTTGGGATCATATCGGTATCAGCAGATATTTGCTAAAAAATATATATCGCCATTGAACAAATTATTACATTTGGCTAATATTTTAAACATATTTATACTTCAGAAGAGCAGATTGTTAAGATGACGCTGACGTTTTTGTATTATTATTTTTTCCTAATTTGCAAATACCAGGTGCTGTTTACACTGTGTCAAATTTTTATGACTGGACCAATAGTAATGCTGCAAAATGATGTGGAATTAAATTTTCTTACAAAAACTTACATTGAATCTTAAGAACATTCTTCTACTTCCCAGTACAGTTACTTTTATTAGATGCAAGGTTTAGTTCTGACAGTGATTATATGTTACATTTCTCTGAAAGGCTACTCCAGGTGAATCTAGCCCCTTTTTAGAAATTGTATGTTTTAGTGTCAGTAGATACAGTGCTGTGAAAAAAGTGTTTGCTCCCTCCTGATTCCTCTATTTTCGCATATTCATCATTCTATAATGTTTCAGATCCTCATACATGTAATATAAGACAAAGACAACATGATGAAACACAAATCATAGTTTTGAAACATCTATATTATACATGCAAAAAAAAACAAAACAAAAAAATCCTTTTCTACTTAATAACTGGTTGTGCCACCTTTAGCAACAACTGCTATAACCAGACGCTTCTCATAACTAAATGTCAGTCTTTCACAACACCGTGAAGGAATCTTGTTGCCTCTTCTTTGCAGAATTGCTTTAATTCATTTACATTTGAGGGCTTTTGAGCATCATTGGTTGAGTCCTGCCAGAACCTCTAAATGGGGTTCAGGTCAGGACTTTGACTAGGCCACTCTAAAACCTTTTTTCCCCTTTTCGAGCCAGTCAGAGGTGGACTTGCTTTGTGCTTCAAATTGTTGTTTTGCTGCATAACCCAACTGCACTTGACCTTCAGATCATGGACTGATGAGTGGACCCTCTCCTGAAGGATTTTCTGGTAGAGAGCCGAACTCACAATCCCATCAATTGTGACAAATCATCCAGTACCTGAAGCAGCAAAACATCTTCATGCCATCACACTACCACCACCATGTTTGACTGCTGGTATGATGTTCTTATTGTAGATGCTTTAAACCAGATGTAACGTCCACACAGTTCCACTTTTGACTCATCATTTTGCAGAACATGATCTCCGAAGGCTTGTGGGTCTTCACGCTGTTTTATTTTGGTGAGTGTGACACGGGCCTTCATGTTCATCTTGGTTAGCAGTGGTTTTTAGCCTTGTATCTCCCCCACTTTCACTGTGTAAAGCCAGCTTTAGTTGTCGCTTTGCTCTTGTCTGACAACTCAAGTTGTCTTTTCAATCTTCTATATTAAATTTAGAAATAATTAAGCGTGACAAAAATAGAAGAAATGTACTTTTTCATGGCACTTTGTGTGTAAAAATATCAGATATTGGCTTCAACATACAATTTCCAGATTGGTGCATTCCTAATAAAAACAAAGCGAAATTATTAGGTGCGTTTAGCTTTTTTTGGCCTAATTTCATCATTACAGATCCAAAGAATCTCATTCTCCACACAGACCCTTGGTGGGTGGCTGAAAGTACTTATTGCCCAGAGACACTGTACATATTTTAAGAAAATATGGAACATTTGAATCCTGGTGATGACATTAAATGCTTGTACCCTCAACAAGAAAACCATGTAAAATGAATTTTAAAAAGGCATTTCATCCTCTATTAATAAAACATTTCGATGTGGTGTTTCTGAAAGCCTTTGAGACTTCGGCTAAGTTTCAGCATCAAACGCTGAAGAAAGAGACAAATCCTTAAGAATGCGGGGTAGTTTCAGCTTTGTGTGTGTGCATGTATGTGTGTAAAATCTTCCACAGGCCTAAAAGAGTCTTTAATGTATTTTTTATCATCCTGTTGTGCCTAAGGTCCTCACCACCCACTCCAGCCATTCTGTCTAGTGTGCTGTAAGCCTGCTAAAGTGAGCGGGGGTCCGTGCAGCTGCACACGCACTCAACCTGAAGCTACCTGAGATTCTCACCTGAGGCCCTGTGTTCAACTACACTAACTACAGAGTGAACGCAGCACAGGAGGATCAGGAGGAACTTTGAGAACCACAAGTGTAAATCTGTAAATTTCATCATGACTCAATTTGATTGTGCTATTTTGTCATTATTCAGAGATATTTTTAAAAATACTGTGAAAGCACAAATGTGACTAAATGAACTATCTATAAATCCAGTAGAGGAGTATTTTAATTGTGTATTTTAAGGTACTGTGGAAAATTAGACACCACCCTTTGTTTATTTAATTTTCATTCAAAGTGGCCATTAAGTTATTTCTATTATATTATCAGGAAAAAAATTCTTTAAGACAGAATTACACAGAAGTCTCAACTAAATTAATAGAATTTAATCTCAAGCCTAGTGAACTGAATATACTCAGTATTTACTGTCTCCACCCTTCTTTACTGCCTTCTTTACAGCTTCCGTTCTTTTCAGTTTTTCAAAGAAATCTGCAAGGATATTTTTCCACACCTCCAAAGTTTAGACCTAGAAGTTGGTTACATTTTTTGCTTCTCACGATCCAAAAAAATCCTAAACACATTCAGTGATGAAACATTCAGTTGGGGTCTGGACTCTGGGGTGACCGGTCCACTGTTCTGAGAACACCAGCTGCTTCTTTTACTTTCTTTTTTTCCACAGTTTTGAGTCGTCTCTTCACAGTGAAAGGATGGACAGAAAAACCTGCTAATTTTTTCGTATAAGTAGGAATGGCGCTTGATGTTCTTGGTTTTGGTGGTCTAACAGGTCCTGTTTTTTCCATTCATTCTCCCTTGACTTTTAAATCCACAAAAGTAATTCCTGTAAAATGAATAGTATGTACTTAAAGGCCATTTGGACTGGAAATTAAATAAACAAAGTGTAGCTTCTGTTTTTTTGGATGATACTTTACATTTAAACTAGCCCAGCAATTTTATTTTGGCCAAAGGCCGCTGCATATTTTATTGAATGTTATTATCAGTGGGGCCTAATGATTCCTGGAACCTAGGAAACAATATTGTTAAGATTTAGAAACAAAAGGGTTCAAATCTTGAAACGCCCAGTATAAAACTGACATCTCAGGACCGTTCAGTGGTACGTGAGTCGACACAGCCGAG